CCCGGGTAAATCTACCATGAACCTATCCACCTTGACCTCACACTGTCACAGATCATGGCTGAGGTGTTGCTGTCTGGGTGCGGCAAGGCCTGGGGTTTGAACCGTTTCAGCAGCTCCAAATACCCAATAGTTCTGCTTATGAGGTGATCTGGCTATCAGTTCGCACCACACAGGGGTGCCGCGTTGTCATCTGTGCGGTCTACCGTTCTGGCTCGCTCCCAGGGGAGGCAACACTATCTTGCTGAAGCATATTGATAGCTCCATGGACCTAGCATGCTCCTTTGGGTCCCATGATGTCATCCTTGCGGGGGACTTCAATGCCCACAATGCATCATGGTTACGCTCCCACAGGACCACGAAAGCTGGAGAGTTCGCGGAGGATCTCTGCAATCTACACGGCTTAGATCAACATAATAATTATATACAGATCCCAACCAGAGGCCCCAAAACGCTAGATCTCGTAATGTCCGACTTTCCACAGGTAGCTGTTGCCGGCCACCTACCGCTGGGCGCGTCAGGTCACATCTGTCTTCTCGTACTCCTGGACATCTCAACGACCATCCAGTCATCCACCCTGAGTCACTCACCAAGCGCACTGTATGGCGATATCATCACGCTGACTGGGACGGCCTCCGCCATTTCATCGAGACACGGGTCCGGCAGGCCATGATCACGGAGGATGCCGATACTGCCTGCCAGCACATAAACACCTGCATCCTGGCGGGAATGAAGCAATTTATACCCTCTAAGACCCTGGTCACCTGCCCAAGAGACCCGCCGTGGTGGACCGCGGAATGTAGCAATGCCGTAACTACCAAACAGCATGCTTGGTGTCCGCTGACGCAGGCGCCCTCACCGCAGAATTTGGAGACAGCCAGAGCAGCGGCCACAAACTGCACTGCCCAACTAAGTTACTTCGTCGTGCACAATCCGCGCACTCTCTCAGCTACATGTCCATGAACGGCTCACAAATGGCGGGCACTCGGACAAACAAAGAGAGAGGGAGACAGACAGAGAGACAGAGAAAGAAAGAGAGAGAGAGAGAGAGAGAGAGAGAGAGAGAGAGAGAGAGAGAGAGAGAGAGAGAGAGAGAGGAGAGAGAGAGAGAGAGAGAGAGAGAGAGAGAGAGAGAGAGAGAGAGAGAGAGAGAGAGAGAGCGAGAGAGAGAGAAGGAGAGAGAGCGAGAGAGAAAGCGAACGAGAGAGAGAAGGAGAGAGAGTGGGACCTGCTCACCACGATATCGGGGCCACTGCCGCGTCGCGTGTATATTTTTCAATGCCTTTTTTTACATGCGACCTGTTCACCATAATCTCGGGGTCACCGCCGCGGCGCGCTTCCTCGAAAAGGCTATTTTCGCGAGTCCAAATAGGAATATCTTCTGAGTACCCACGTAGCGAAGAAGTAGGCCGTAGGGAGAAGAAGTGTGGGTAAAAAAAAGAGAGAAAGAGAGAGAGAGAGAAAGAAAGAGAGAGAGAAAGAGAGAGCGAGAGAGAGCGAGCGAGAGAGAGAGAGCGAGAGAGAGAGAGAGAGAGAGAGAGAGAGAGAGAGAGAGAGAGAGAGAGAGAGAGAGAGAGAGAGAGAGAGAGAGAAAGAGAGAGAGAGAGAGAGAGAGAGAGAGAGAGAGAGAGAGAGAGAGAGAGAGAGAGAGAGAGAGAGAGAGAAGGAGAGAAAGCGAGCGCGAGAGAGAGAGAGAGAAGGAGAGAGAGAGAATGCCGACCAGCATCTCGCGGTTGCCTGTTATGGAACCATATACCTGACACGGTGCGAGCCACGGTGCTGCCATTCCCTACACGTTGTAGACTGCTACACAGTTGGTCATTCCATGGTATTCAGTACCCACGAACTTTGCAAAGCCGATAATATGATAATGTACCGTGGTGCATGCACCGATGGTACCACCACTTCGTAGACTGCCTCCCGTTCATTTTTGGGCTCCTGTCTTTATTCTCGTCAGCTGTGTACTTCAGCAGTTCAATTCTGTGCTCCAGTCCTCTTTATTCTCGTGAGATGTGTACTTGTTTTGCAGTTTGTTTGGTTTATTTGAATTCGCACAGTAACCGTGTACTTCAGCTATTCTCTCCTCCCTCTTCTGAATTTGACTCCCCGCTGGCCTTCTCTCCTCCCATCCCCTTACATTGTATTGGGCCTCCGCAGCTTACCCCCCCCCCCCCCCCCACGACCACCACCCCACGCACACACTACATTGTCACATTTCACAACTCAACCATTCGCTACCCTGTTATTGAGCACTCCTGCTCGTTTGGTCTCGCGAATCCAAATAAAATCAATCAAGAGAAGGAGAGAGAGTGGGACCTGCTCACCACAATCTCGGGGCCACTGCCGCGTGTATACTTTTCAATGCATTTTTTACATGCGACCTGTTTGCCATAATCTCGGGGTCACCGCCGCGGCGCGCGTCCTCGAAAAGGCTCTATTTCGCGAGTCCAAAGACATGAGACATGGTTAGCATTTTACCGTTCACGCTATTTCGACGGTCGGCGTGTAGAGGGCGAGTCTACTGTTTTTGATGTGTTTTCGAGTCACGGTAAGCAGTTCGGCTTCTGATCTTACCGTTTCGTTCTCCCGCTAAAAAGAGCTTTCTATCGTCGAAACGGTACCAAACCGATGGTATTTTGGGTTTGGGGTACGAGTACCGTTGGATCTAGCGCGTGAACTGTAAAATGCCATGTCTACACACACACAAAAAACGGTGCAGGCCTACCTCCTAAAATAGCGTGAACGGTAAAATGCTAACCATGTATTGTTAGCATTTTACCGTTCACGCTATTTTCGACGGTCGGCCTTTGCCGTTTTTTGTGTGTGTACGTAGACATGGCATTTTACAGTTCACGCCAGGGAGTCGTAAAATACGGTATTTTACGACTCCCTGGTTCACGCGCTAGATGGATCCAACGGTACTCGTACCCAACACCCAAAATACAGTCGGTTTGGTACCGTTTCGATGATAGAAAGCTCTATTTAGCGGGAGAACGAAACGGTAAGATTCCAACTAGGGTTACGTCACAAGTCGATCGCTGTGTCAGGATCAGTCAGGACTCAGAAACCATGTGGCATGTCTCAAAAAACACATCAAAAACAGTAGACTTACCCTCTACACTACAGGCCAACCGTCGAAAATAGCGTGAACGGTAAAATGCTATCCATGTCTAATATCTTCTGAGTACCCACGTAGCGAAGAAGTAGGCCGTAGGGAGAAGAAGTGTAGGTAAAAAAAAAGAAGTAGGTACGGTAGAGAGAACAGAAGTCTACATGATTGTATGAGAAAAATGTGTTTTTGTGCACATAAGTCATTCAGCCTAAAGGGAAAGGGATACGCACTAGACAGAGATAGCTATGTCACAGTATGTGACATTAGCATGGCTCTAGAGTCTAGTGGACCACGACATCATGACAGGTGCAACAGCTACATTGTACATGTATGTACAGCTGCACAATGATAATGATTGTCATGACTGTATATAATGATTGTATTAGTGACTGTAAGACATTGTCTGTTTGTGCAGCTGCTGAGTGCTGTACCCACATACTAGTAATCATTGACATTGTCATTGTATTTGACGATAAACATCGTGTCAGAGGAGAACACACTGTCACTGAGTATGTGAGTCTGTGCATGTACTGTCGTGGACATGGAAATCCGGTCGCACGTCTAGCGGCCCCAGGGTGCTGGCCATGCAGCCGTGGATAAGCGGCACACACATGCATTTTTTTGGAACTCCCTGGTTCATCAAAATAGTAATGAAATACAATGATATGAAGGGTATAAAAAAAAGGGTATAAAAAATAATGAAATCACACAGCTTGTACATGTACCCATCACGCTGGGAGCCAAGGACCCTCCGAACGTCAGCTATCGGTATCAGCAAGAGTACATAGCACCAGGGGGTTATGCACTCTTGCCTTGGTGTCAGCCAGCTATTGGCACGTTCTTCCCAGTACTAGAAAAACAAACCAGAAGAGTCATGCTGAGACGACAACCTGCGTTTTACCTGTGAACTGACTTTAACCGGGTTCTCTTCTTGCTTGCTTCTGACTTCATACATGTACATGTATATGTAGCTTCACGCCTGTGCTGGATTCTTGACTGATAAACCTGTAGATGACGTGAGATGTTGTATTTCCAGTCACCTACCTTATCACCAGATTCATGTACAATCGTACTGGTAAGTCTAAGAAAAGACAAGGTCAAGGAACCACGTAACGTGCTCCTCTTTCGTTCGTTACGACGTTAGTTGTGAAGAAGCGTTCGATGCCTACTAGACTCTCTACATGCTGCATCAAACCGCAAAATGGTTCCAAGTGTGCACTCTGCTTGGTTATAAAGGTTGTGCGATTGCAACATCAGTTGAGATGCTTTGGCAGAGCCGCACCTGTATTTGTACTGAGTTTGTCCGTTATCTGTGCTTTGAGTTGATCTACAATTTTTACATGTACAGTACATGCAACCGTTACTGTTAGTGTTACTGTTACTTGAACTTTGAACTTTGAACTTTGAAGTATGCACAGTCATGTCAAATCATTGTACTTGTAGATCTGCTAGCGGCATCCAGCGTAGCTTTTTGCTTTTTTGTGATCACGTGCAGGTGCCAACCAGTGAGCTATGAGTACGAGGTGAACGAGTGATGTACTGCACTGGTCTGTGGTGTGGTAGCGGTCTCTCTTATACTAAGTAATAGTGTTATAGTACTAAATACCATGTCCATGATGTATACGAACCCACTCGAACACGTACACGCAATGGGTGCATTGTGTCATGTGCAGCACTGACTCTGCCGGCGCCACACTGTCACTGGCGGTAGCTCACACGACGTCACAGTCACACGAGGTCACAGTCGCACCACGAATATCACATGCGCCTAAGCGGGAGATCTGCCAGTAGATGAGTAGTACTAGTAGATCAGCTAAAGTAAAGACAGACTGTTCTACCGGCAGTGCACGTACCCTCCGACGTGCGTATGTTCACTACGCAGCCAGTAGCTTGCCAATTACAAGAACTAACTGTTACTTCTGAACTGAAGGCGGAGATGGTTATTGTTATGCCTGTGCATTCACGTGTTGAAGCATGGCGTTCACTCATTGGACGACACCGTGTAGAATTCTCGGAACAAGCAAGGAAGAAGCTGGTATAAAAGCCCATGAGCTTCGTACCGAGTCTACCGACTAAGTAGTGCGAGTCGTTGGTTGCTTTCTTCTTCAGCATTCTCCTTTCCGATTCCAGCAAACGAAAATGTGTGACGACGACGTTGCCGCTCTTGTCGTAGACAATGGTTCCGGTATGTGCAAAGCTGGCTTTGCTGGCGACGACGCACCTCGTGCCGTCTTCCCGTCCATCGTCGGTCGTCCCCGCCATCAGGGTGTGATGGTCGGTATGGGCCAGAAGGACAGCTACGTCGGAGACGAAGCCCAGTCCAAGAGAGGTATCCTGACGCTCAAGTACCCCATCGAGCACGGTATCGTCACCAACTGGGATGATATGGAGAAGGTAAGAGAATAGCACTAGACTTCCGAAATGTTTGGACTCGGAGCCCGGTCCGTCGTTGTGATGTGTATTCTATTCACTAGATCCGCCTTTCCTGTAGACTCTAATCAGAGACATGTACACACGTACCACGTACACGTAACTACATTGTACTTACTGGTCACACTGCACTGGTGTACTACGCTTCGTCTTCGTCGACAAACTGTTGTTTCCTCACGTTTCTCCCAGCTCACCCCAATACATCGGTAGGGTACGGTTCCCCAGCCGCGAAGTGCAGACTTCCGATGTCGGAAACGCAAACCGGACGACGACTACGGAAGTGAGTCCCAGTGCTGCCAAACCGTCCGATTTTTCGGACTGTGTCCGATTTTTGAAGGCTCTTCCGAAAACCGGTCCGAAAAGGGAAACGTCCGAAAAGCAGCCAAAATGTCGGAGATCATTACTTTCCTATGCAGAAGTCCTGTACTTTCACTTTTCAGCGCAACTGAAGGCAGAAATCACTGTAAATTGGCTTCTAAAAAGGCTAGCGCTTGGCTGTGGAAGTGCAAAGTAACTATGCCTGGATCAGGCTGGATGGCATGTACGCTGACAGTCTGTACAGAGTCAGTGTGCGACCACACTCATCATTTCAAAATTCATGACAACTCCGGGGTTACCATGGCAACGAAGCGAATTTTAATGGTGTTTTAGGCGATATTTTGAATTCTCTGTAAAAAAAATTGCCGAGGAGAAAATTCGCACCATGTGGCCAGCCTTGGTGGTGAAGGGTGTCCGATTTTGGGCAGCACTGGAAGTCGCACGCATCAATAGAGCCGCTATCGTGGACATGGACATCCAGTTGATTGACCGGGTACCCACGGCTGCATGGCTAGTGCCCTGTGTCCGCTAGACGTGCGACCGGATGTCCATGTCCACAACATTAGTTAACAACAGTAGAACCCAGGACCAGGTGCATGCTCTTCACAAATGTTTACATGGTGGCTGCCCCTGTCACTGGGTCTTTTTCTCCTCAAAATGGCGGCAAATCCGACTCGAGTACAAAAATTTCGATTCTGCCCATAGGCCCTGGCCCACAGAAATCGCGCATCTGCAGATCCACGTACCGTTTTATCCCCAGTTTGTGGTTGTTGTTTGTTAATCGTGCTGCTTGCTTTTATCAGGAGACCCATTCGCACACATGCACATCCCCGTAAAGCCCATCGGAGATAACGCCAAGGGAGGACAAGCACTCAAAACAATGGATGAGGGGCACTGATGGCCCACTGGTGCAGGGGCCAGAGGAACAAGGTGCAAGCGTAGAAACTTGGACAGAAAAAGAGTAAGGAGACATTTTGGAGGGGAGGATGTTACATGGAGATGCCGGCCACAGAGTGAAAGGGTGGCCTACCTTTCAGTTCTACGTACAGTATTAGTAACTATTGGCACTCTCTGTGTATATCCGTACACGTGACCCTGTGCTCTGCAAACTGCAAGAAAACATTGTATCACTCACACTCTTCAAGTAGCACGCCTACACCACCAAGTTCATCCACACAGCATCACATTCATCTGCCACTACCTTTCTCAAATACAGGTGCTTGTACTTGTTGCTCACTGCCAAAACTGGTCACGTGGGTCTCCCTGGGAGAGGGGAGACAGACTCAAAAGGAATCTTGGAAAGATGACTCATTTGGCTATTGAACCGCCCAACGGCCGACACCCCCTGAAATCCCCCAAACTCTGGGTGGACTTGAAAGTGATCCCACTAATGGGCTCACCACACCTCAGTAAGTGGGTGAGGACAAGGTGCAGAAAAAGGATTGACGGTATCAGGGTATCCGTCCCGGGATCCAACTGCAGTTGCCCCTGCCCCCAGTGAAGGTAATACTTGCTACTACTTTGGAAGTAGTGTGGGTGGCTAAATCAGATTGGATCTGATATAAGCTTCACTACTAGCACCATTGATAACACAAGAGTTAATCTAGCCAGAAACAGTCCATGGTTAACAGGTACATGTATGTACACTATGTTCGCACACAGGGAAGGTGTAAACTTCGCTTTTGTACTTGCTGGCTGCTGTATTCCTATTCTGCCTATTGTATTAGCTACACAAGTGTGTGTTTTAGTTATTACGTTTTTATGTGACGGCGTTCCATTGGTGAAAGTCACGAGAAAACGTTATGGAACTTAACTTTCTTCATTTCTAATGTCGTTATGAGTGCACAATTGATCTTATTTATTGCCATTTTAGTACTGATGACTTCTCATTTTGCATAATTTATCTCTATATCAAAATAATGACTTGACACTTTTCTCTGTTTGAAACTCGGGTATTGAGCCAATAATAAAAGTAGAAAGGAAAAGGACATATGGAAACGAGTTAAGAGTAACTCTCCACCACTGTAACTAGATACTATATACAGTCAGAAAGTGCAACAACTAGGCACAAAACTGACAGAGTACTGAGACATTCGACGTCCTGACACCTAGCTTCAACACATCTCCGTAGCGCTAACCGACAGCCTTCCAACTTGGAAGGTTCAAGGTTATGGAAAGACCAAAGAGGGGAAGGCAAGCGCAACGAAAACGAGCACAAGCTACAGTCCCAACGGAACAAAGAATGTCGATTGTCACTGGACGATGACGAGACCAGTAGGCGATTTGACAAAGCGGTCTAACTACAATTCGAAGCAGCAAAGCAGCACACCACCCAACTTGGGTGGGTCAAAAATATCAAAGATAAGTTAAGAAGTCAGTTTTGTGCCTAGTTGTTGCACTTTCTGACTGTATATAGTATCTAGTTACAGTGGTGGAGAGTTACTCTTAACTCGTTTCCATATGTCCTTTTCCTTTCTACTTTTCTCTGTTTTCGTTTTTTCCTTTTTTCTCTAGATCTGGCATCACACGTTCTACAATGAGCTTCGTGTTGCCCCCGAGGAGCACCCCGTCCTTCTGACCGAGGCTCCCCTCAACCCCAAGGCCAACCGTGAGAAGATGACACAGGTAAATATATGATTGACCCTTTCTCTGTGCCATTGGTTTGCCGAATGCACATCCCATGCACAAACTAGTACTGCACACTTTGCCCTGGTCTGGTGAAATAACAATGACGGCGTGTCCCAAGTCGGCCAGTAATAGGTAGAATGCTGGTTGAAGTGAAATGGGCCCGAGTGCTGGAACTTACTCGTCTTGGATTGCTACTACAGTCCATTTCAAAAATATAGACGCATGGTATTTTTGAAATATTTCAAATTTTGCTGGAGCTTTTGGAGAATGGTTTTCGGAATATTGCTCAGGTCCTTCCCACAATTCTCTCATATCGATGTTCAAGCGATCGGATAACAAACGCCCAATTTTGAAATTTTTATGTACAAAGTAATCACAGATGTTATGTACAAAGTAATCACAGATTTTATGTACAAAGTAATCACAGATTTTATGTACAAAGTAATCACAGATTTTATGTGGTATAGATGCTGCCCTAACCGTGTTTTGAAATCACGGGTCGATATTTTTGAAACGCACTGTAGAGCTGAAACGATTGTACAAATATCTCGGTAACTGATCGATAACTTCTAGCTTCGTTACGTTGTAGATTACTCGTCAGGGGTTTTGAGTCCAAAAGTACTTCTAACCCCCACATCATCCCCCCCCCCCTTTCCGGTGAAGTTTGAATCAGTTTCCGCTGTGAGTATGCAGTTGCCAGGGGTGTGGTTCATGTTCTGAGGTTCAATTGACTTCAAAACTGCCATGTTTCAGAGCTCCCCTTTCACTAATGCAGATTTTTTTGGTGTGATGATGGATGAAAACATAGCCTTTGGAAACAGAGCAATTTTGCACAAAATTCTGACACTATTTGCTATCGATCTGTTAGCTAAATAGTACTCGACAGATGAAAATCCACACTCGTTTCAGCCCTTATTACTACAGATTTATGCATGTTGTTGCAGGTGTGGCAAAGGCACCACAGACTCCATTGGGGACCATTGCACACGGGTCACTCAGCCTTACCCACATACCTGTGTGTCATACAGCGCTGATTCTCAGAGCTAGTCTAGATATGTGCTCACCTTTGGTGGTGGCAACACTCTGCCAAGCTTGACCAAAGGCACACCGTACGTCTTTGTGAACCTACATGTAGCTCTCATGTAATGCTACAAGATGACTTTGTAAACCTAGCCGTCTCATGTAATGCTACAAGATGACTTTGTAAACCTAGCCGTCTCATGTAATGCTACAAGATAACTTTGTGAACCTAGCCGTCCCATGTAATGCTACAAGATGACTTTGTGAACCTAGCCGTCTCATGTAATGCTACAAGATAACTTTGTGAACCTAGCCGTCCCATGTAATGCTACAAGATGACTTTGTGAACCTAGCCGTCTCATGTAATGCTACAAGATGACTTTGTGAACCTAGCCGTCTCATGTAATGCTACAAGATGACTTTGTGAACCTAGCCGTCCCATGTAATGCTACAAGATGACTTTGTGAACCTAGCCGTCTCATGTAATGCTACAAGATGACTTTGTGAACCTAGCCGTCCCATGTAATGCTACAAGATGACTTTGTGAACCTAGCCGTCTCATGTAATGCTACAAGATGACTTTGTGAACCTAGCCGTCCCATGTAATGCTACAAGATGACTTTGTGAACCTAGCCGTCTCATGTAATGCTGATAACTTTGTGAACCTAGCCGTCTCATGTAATGCTACAAGATGACTTTGTGAACCTAGCCGTCTCATGTAATGCTACAAGATGACTTTGTGAACCTAGCCGTCTCATGTAATGCTACAAGATGACTTTGTGAACCTAGCCGTCTCATGTAATGCTACACGATACCAACACTGTGCTTGTTTCTACTTCCTGTGTTCTGTAGATTATGTTTGAGACTTTCAATTCTCCAGCAATGTACGTCGCCATCCAGGCTGTGCTCTCCCTGTATGCCTCTGGACGTACCACCGGTATCGTCTTGGATTCTGGTGATGGTGTGTCCCACACTGTCCCCATCTACGAGGGATACGCTCTCCCCCACGCCATCCTCCGTCTCGACTTGGCTGGCCGTGACTTGACCGACTACCTCATGAAGATCCTCACCGAGCGTGGATACTCTTTCACCACCACTGCTGAGCGTGAAATCGTCCGTGACATCAAGGAGAAGCTCTGCTATGTTGCCCTGGACTTCGAGCAGGAGATGGACACTGCTGCTTCAAGCTCCAGCCTGGAGAAGAGCTACGAGCTTCCCGATGGTCAGGTCATCACCATTGGCAACGAGCGATTCCGTGCTCCTGAGGCTCTCTTCCAGCCGGCCTTCCTCGGAATGGAATCTTCTGGTATCCACGAGACCACCTACAACTCAATCATGAAGTGCGATGTCGACATCCGTAAGGATCTGTATGCCAACACTGTCTTGTCCGGTGGTACCACCATGTACCCAGGTATTGCCGACCGTATGCAGAAGGAAATCTCTGCATTGGCTCCACCAACAATGAAGATCAAGATCATTGCCCCACCAGAGCGCAAATACTCCGTATGGATTGGTGGCTCCATTCTGGCCTCGCTGTCCACCTTCCAGCAGATGTGGATCTCCAAACAGGAGTACGACGAGTCTGGCCCTAGCATTGTCCATCGCAAGTGCTTCTAACTTTTGTGTATGCTTTCATTTTTTTTCTTAATTTTCAACTCCATGTACAGGTATATTTTGTACAAGGCAGAACAACAGAGACCAAAAAGCTTTCTAGTGACTCCGAGTTTCGTGTTCAAAAACACTCAGCAGACGATAAAACATAATAATGCTATTCGCTAGTTATCTAGGGTAATTGTGCGGTAGGCTAAGGCAGTGCTACAACCGAATACGCTGTGAGTAATAGGAGTGCAAGTGTCATGGTTGAGGCTACAACCAAGACGGGAGATACATGTAGAACCGGCGCAGGAATTCAGTACAGTAGAGTCGCGCGGCCAAGAACGTTGTTTCCAAGGGACGTTCTTATTTTGTCAGCAATCTGGCTGCGTTCTTATAGCATGTTCTTAGAAACAATCCGTTCTGGATCATATGTATCCCACAAGCTGCCAGAAAACCAACACCGCCGTTCTTAGCTTTAGGCTGTGGCGTTCTTAGAATTTCAGGCTGGACGTTCTTGGGCTCCACGTTCTTCAGCGAGCGACTCTACTGTAGGTTTCAGTGGGACTTGTGTCGCATCAGAGGGTTGGGTAGTATCAGAGGGTTCGGTAGTATGACTTTGTATTACATACCAGATACCAGTGTGAATAATGACGCAATTATGTGGTTTGGTGAGAGTGTGAAATAATGAGGGTGTACATGTGGGTGCATGAGAGTGTGTGTGTGTGTGTGTGTGTGTGTGTGTGTGTGTGTGTGTGTGTGTGTGTGTGTGTGTGTGTGTGTGTGTGTGTGTGTGTGTGTGTGTGTGTGTGTGTGAAATCACCGCATATCTCATCATGTGACCCCAGTGTAGTTTGCGAGCGAGAATTTGTTGGCATGTCCTTCCGATAGATTTGGGGAGGTTCTGGATGATCACGGGTGTATCGCCTGGCTTCCTATGTGGCTTGTACTGGCCAGTCTGTAGTGTAGGTTCACTCTTGCACTCGTATTAGTATTACTCACAGTGTATTCCAGCGCTGACGATATCTCCTCAAGCTTCGTGGTTGTAGCACTGACTTAGCCTACCGTACACTTACCCTATACAACTAGCGAATAGCACTTCATCGTCTGGTGAGTGTTTTTGATGAGTGTGATTTACTGTTGACAGTCAACAGAGACCGTGTACTGCCTTGTGTAGTACGCTCTGCCCTTGTTAGGGTATTGAGCACTGTTTGCAGCGAGGACTTCAGACACTTTGTGTATATATTGTATATTATGTACATGACTCTCACAAGGAATAAAACTATTTGTATTATTATGCACACTCATATCAAAATCAAAGCAACGAATAGAGTGTTTCAGAACGTTTTCTAGAAGAAGAAAACTCATGGGAACGAGTTATAAAGCAACTATCCACGACTGTATCAAGATAATAATAAGCAATCAGAATGTGCGATAACAAAACTGACAGGCTACTAAGACATTCAATGACCTAATACTGGCTCATTATCCGAGAACGTTTTCTTGTCGCAATTATCAATGGAAGCTCGTGACTGAAGCCTGAAGGGAATATCAAACAGTACTGTAACTTAGTTACTATTACTTAGTTAGTATACATGTGCATGTACATGTAGATTATAGACCGATTTGGAGGTCTATACAGGACTAGCTATAGGCCGAGTAAAAGGCCAAGGTCCCCTGAGGTCTTTTATGAGATCTACATGACTTGTATAACATATTATTATCCTGTATAGACCAACTATGAGGTCAATGATCTACATGTATTTATCGTATTCTCCACGCAATAGTTTCTCTTCATAATTATTATGATTTTCTTCCGGATGGCGAGGGATCGGGGTTAAAGGGGTCCGGATAAGAGAGGTCTGATTGTATACAGGGTATAGCCTACATGTACATGTACATGTACGGCATTGCAGGATCAATGTCATTGCTTATAGTTATACTAGTTTCAGGATCGGTAGCACAGTGGCTGGGTGGTAAGGAAGAGTGACTGAGATTCATGTGGGTTTGAATCCCCTCTTGATCTTGTATATTTCTGCTTTTCTCAAAATGTTCTTACTAAGAAGGTGATAATAGGATTTATGCATGATTGTACACTTGGAGTGACAAAACATGGACACTGACAAGTAAGAAAGTATCACATTACTCGTACTCAAACGTAGATTGGTAAGCGATAAATACGCAGGTGAGAATATGTTGGGACATTCAGCGAAGATCCAATGCAGCAAGGTACAGGTACATGCATGTATAATTCTAATGTGAGGTGCTATGTGACGATGCATGTGTAACTGTGGGGAGCGCAAAATAATAATTGCTGGAATAGTGTACGTGCGGTAACATTGAAGACTTATTCTTTTATTCCACGATGGCGTGACTAGCCCTTTCCCAAAGGTGCTCGCCCTTTTTTTCGCATTTTTTTGGCCCTTTTTGGAAAAGCCCGTTTCTTTCGCCCCTTATTGCGTTTTTGGTGAATATCGCCCTTTTTGAGCTTTTCTAGCTGAAAAAGTGCTAAAATCTGTTTGCTCATGCATGCGATCACAGTTTTCGAGTGCTCGATGGGCCTTGGCACGCCGCTTTTTTTGGGGGGGGGGGGGGGCAACAAGTTGGTGAAGCTTGTACCCAGTGTACACAATGCTATAAAAAGTGTTTTTACTGAACTTCCTGTTTGACCCATTATTGGATGAGTGCATATTCATTTCTCAGCTTGGGTTCATATCTGAACATGTATCATGGCTATGCTTCACTTTAAAAAAGCACTTTTTGCCTGTTCTCACTGAAAAAAGAGCACTTTTTCAGCATACTTTGAGGGACGCGAAAAGCACTTAGTGCGAATTAAAAGAGCACCTTTGGGAAAGGGCTAGGCGTGACGCCAACAAGGACGATTGATAAGTGTGACATGATAGAACTGATACTAACCAGAAACAGCTACATGTACATTGTAGATGGAAATTAACCGGGGAGGCAAGAAGCAATGGATCATGAAAAACAAGCGGGGGCAATAACGTTAGCAGGGGTGATCGAGATAGTTTTTTAAGACTAGTTATCCTGTTGAATAATATAGTATTTTCTGGGAAACCGAATCACTCCATTGACTCGTACAATGCCTTACCTCTGATAACAAATATTGCGATATGTACATGTAATAAATGTAGAGCCGAAGGATATATTTCAATTACATTATTATTTTAAAACGAAGGTAAGTTATGGGTCGCAAATATCCACGCAAACACACATCCAGTCATAATAAGGCACTTGTCATAAGTATCCGAACGTTTTCGGTCCCTTCTCATCAAGGATTATACAGGGAATGGCTCAAGCTGGAAAGACTAAAACTTATATACATGTAGCGTAAAGATAATTAGATACATGTAACAACACTCGTGACAAGGTGGAAAATTATCAAGTTTAGCACGACACAAAACTCGAAGGAAAATAATAATAGTGACAACAACATAGTGAGCAAATTAAGTTACATTGTTACCACCTCGACGAGGAGTAACACCAAACAATTGTAGCGACAACACATTTTCTTTCTGTACGCAAAGTTCAGGATCTAACTTACGGATATACAAAGCTTCTAACACAGCCAAATGTAACGCACATCTACCACGTGACAATATTGAGAAAACATTATCACTGTACAACTCACGACAATTGGTACGGGCTGACAGATGTTGCTTGATTGACGAAGTGCGATTCTTAGCTCCATTGGGTGTTGTCTCCTCCAATGTCCCGTCATCTCGCCTCTTCGTGGCATCACCACTATCTGTCTCTTCGCGGTGTGCTAGCCGCGTTAGCGATTCGTACGAGACGCTAGGGGGGGTCGGATTTCAGTTGCCAGCACTGTACAATACATGTACATGACTGTATAGTGCACTATACATGTACATGTCACTGTCGTAGTGCCGTGGCGTGCTCTCCAGGCACGAGCATCACCAGGGATACAAACTTACTGAGACACTCCGTTTCCAGCTCGACAAACACCTCGTGAACACCTAAATAATAGCAGCGTGAGTACGAGTCAGTGTCGCTCGTGGAGGTGCTGAACAAATAAAACGCTGAGGACCGTTTGCCGTTCACAACGGTGTTGCCTCCAAACCATCCAATTCGCAAGCCCGACAATTCCCCAATTATCGCGCATCAACCTCTTATTCACATTGTTGTCCCCGGCGCGGGCTTGGGAATTAGATGCTATCTGGTCTTCACGAGGTGTTTGTCGTGCTGGAAACGGAGCGTCTCTGTAAGTTTGTATCCCTGGTGATGTTTGTGCCTGGAGAGTACTATACTTGTAAGTGGTGCTCTTTTAAGTCTTTAGAGTTTACTCAGTTTAGGCAAAATCTTCTTCAGCCTACTCAAGCTCAACTGAAGAAAAAGAGGATCAAAGAGCTATAAGTGGTGGTGTTAGTGGATATTAATTTTATAGCGTTACTAACTTGTAGCTCTTTGGTCCTCTTTTCTTCTTACAGGTATAAGTAAACTTTAGGCTCTGTTTTCAACTTTTTCTCTGCGTTCTTTGTTTTTATGCTTGATGATACAAATGTACCAGCATTGAAACAATAAGATGACATCTGGGTAGGTAATTCCAAAGGTACACCGCAGCTGTTTCCTATGAAACCAGTCTAGGCGGTTTTCGTGTGCACGGGACAGGCCATGGCAAGCAAGGTTGCAGGTCAAGATTGGTAGAACGAACGTGTTGTAGAAAGCAGGTTGCGTTTGAACCATAACTTCAGAGTGTCTCCAAATGCTCTTGCAGCCAAGCCGTCACGTCCTCCCCCGAGCCGTACACGGTACATGGACAGTGACAGTGATCCAAGCGTCTTCGAGATACGGACACTGCAAAAGACACGTATTCAGCTGGCTCGAATCGCGCGAGTATGATCATGGTATAAAAATGATCTTTTTTTCTTCAGACGATACAAGATCACGTACTAGTACTAGTACTGTCAGTCTAGTCCAGGGAGTCGTCAAAATATCAGTACAGTATAATAATTTATCACTCCCTTAGTATTGACTCACATAGATTTTTGCCATACCTAAGCAGTCAAATATTCCTGCATATTTCACTCCTTAGGGCTATATTGACTGCTTATATTTGACTGCTTAGGGGTCGCGCAGTTGAACGGTGCCTAG